AGTGCCCGCCCCCTATAGGGAAAACCTCTAAAAAAAAAAAAAAAAAAAACCCAAACAAACAAAAATAAATAAAAACGGAGTTTTAGGGTCCATGAATTTGGAGTTCCACGAGTTTGAGAGGGCATGAGTTTTAAGGAATCTTAGGATTTAAGGTGTCTTTGCTTTGCAATTCTCCACATTTGGAAGTTCTCATTTTGGGGGCCCTCAAACAATAAGAGTCTAAATTTAGGATTCTGTATTTGAGGGGATTTATTATTTTAGGGGTTGTGGGATTTAATAAATCCCTAGTTTTGAGGTTCCCAAGGTTTGGGAGTTTCTGAACTTGAGGGTGCTAGGTTTGGCTGTCCTCTGGGGATCTGTATTTTTGGGTTTGGAGTTCCCCTTCTGGGTGTCTTTACACTGGAGCCTCACCTCTACGGCCCAGGCTGACCCTGGTGCCTCCTTCACCCAGCCGGTTCCGGGCACTGCAGTTGAAGCCCCTGCTAAAGTCTGACTCCTGGGTCCCAGAAATGTGTAGCACAGAGATCAGGCCTGGACCCTGTCCCCCGTGGCCCTCTGGTGCTGGGAAGGTCTCCACCAGGAACCGGCCTCTCGACCCTGCCTCCAAGAAGCCCTCATCCCAAGACCAGACCTGGGGACACAAACATAAGAAGATGTTGAGGAGACTGGGGAGTTAGGAAAGAGACAGACAAGATATCAGAAAAGGCAGGGATAGGGGGCTGGCAGGTGGCGTGGTGGTTAAGGGTGCCAGACTCCCACATGGCAGACTGCAGTTCAAGTGCTGGACCTGGCAGCTTGCTTTCTCACTTTCTCACTTTCTCGCTCTCTTTCGCTCTCTCTCACTCTCTATCCCTCTCTGGTCAAATTTAAATAAATAAGTAAAGTTTAAAAAATTCTTTAAAAAGTAAAAGAAAAGGCAGAGATGGCCACAGTAGTTTTGGGGGGAGCCTGGTGGAAGATTGGAGAGTAAGCCTGGGTGGTACATGGTAGCGGGAACTTTTCCTTACCACGGTTTCTGGGGCGGGGGAAGCGAAAACTAGACACTGGAGACGGGCGGGGCCCCTCAGAAAGGCGGGCGCAGAGTGCAGAGCGGTCACTACTGGAGGAGCTGGAAGGGAGATGATGACCGCTTAGAGGACAGCCCGCCTTCCCCAAGGCCAGGCCTGGGCACTTCCGGCTAACCCAACCAAACGGGCCACGCCCTCAACAAACTCCAAGCCCCTCCAAGCCTGGCCTGAGTAGGTCAGCTCCAATCACCAGGCCCTGCTGCCCAGAAGGCTCCCTTCGAAGCCATGCTGACCACCCTTAGACCTCACCCCTCTCGTCCATGAAAAGTCCCCCCCTCTTTCTCACCGTTCACGGTCAACCTAGCCTCTGCAGCGCCGCCCCCCAGGCCCGAGAGCCCCGGCTCAGCCCTGCACACGTAGTCGCCTGCATCCTCCGGCCCCACGGACGGAATTCGCAGCGTGGGCCCGGAGCTCAGCACCTGGGACAGGGAAGGCGCATCAGGGGCGGGACTTTGCGAGGAAGCCGAGTCCCACGCCAGCCACTGCCACAGGGCCCAGACTGGGCTTCACCTGCGCGCCACCGCGGCGAGTCCAGGTTACCCGTGGGAGCGGGTTCCCGCGCCAGGCACAGCTGAAGGAGGCGTCTTCTCCCACATCCACGGACTTGGGCTCCGGCTTTGCCTGCAGAATCGGCCCAACTGGAGGAAAGAGAGGAGAGCTTACAAGGCCGGAGCTGAAGGAAGCCCCTGACCCGGGATCAGCCTTTCAGAAATACGACACCCTCAAGGCTCCCCAGTACACAGCACTCCGCCCACTAATTGTCCACTTGCCGGCCCCGCCCCTGCCCCATTTGGCAGCGGCCAGGCACAGCCAAACCCTATCTGCCTCCAATCCGGCCCCACCGCCCCTCACAGCTCCTCGTAGCCACGCCCCCTGTGGCCCACCCGTAGCCCTGCCCCTGCTCACACAGCACATCCAGCGCGGTGCTGCGGTTGGCGCTACCCACGGCGTTGCTGACCTCGCAGGACACCGGCTCAGTCAGGAACGAAGAGTCTGCCACCACCTCCAACCTTGGCCCGCGGGCCCCCAGCACCGGGAAGCCCCCCTTGGCCCACCTGCAGAAGCAGCAGCTGTTAATGTTCCAGCTCCCAGGCCCGCCTACTCAGCCCTCTCCAAGGCTGTGCTCCACGCTGGGGAGAGGTGGTCTTCGTTCTCACCTGTACCCGGTGACAGGCGGCTGAGCGGTGGCCTGGCACAGAAAAGTGACTTTCTCCCCCTCCTGCCCAGTCTGCAGACAGCTTCACTTCTGGGGGGTCTATGAGGGTTGGGCAATATCAGCGTGGGCAACGACCTGGACGACCTTCATTGCTGGTCTCTTCACCCCAGAAGCCAGGGCCCTTCTTCCCTCCTCCTTCTGAGCAAGGAGTCTGGCCTTCCAGTTCCCAGTGCTCCCCAGATAGCCCAAAGTCTCATGCTCCTATCCTCTCCTGTGCTCTCAGATCCAGGAATCTGGGCCCCAGATTTTTTTTTCCCAGGGACCCCAGGTCCACATCCCCCTTCTTCCCCAGACCCGGGAGTTGAGGTTCTACTCTGCTTTTCCCCGGGGCCAGTGGTACTCACACTGCAGGCTCAGTGTGATCGCTGTGTCCCTCCCGGTGGGCAGGGCCTGGCTCCGGGCCCGGCAGACTAAGGTGGCTCCATCGTCATGGTTGGAAGGGGTCAGGAATAAGGTGCTCTCCACTGAGCCTGTGGTCCCTTCCTTCAACAGGGTCTGGAGGTATGAATGATAACAATATCGATTATGTCTACCCTTTATATAGTGTTTATTATATGCCAGGCATTTTTTCTAGATGTTTCTAGACATTACTTTATTCAGTCCTCACAGTTATCCAATGAGGTACCTACTGCTATTATCCCCGCTGTAGAGATAAGGAAACTGAGGAACAGAGAGGTTAAGTAACTTACTCAAGATCAGTCAACTAGCAAGTGTCAGAGCCATGATTTGAACCAGGGAGTATGGCCCCAGAGTCCTTATCCTGAATAACCTTCCAAGGAGCCCAACTCTTAAACCTCTGCCCTCCCAATGTCCTCTTCTCCTCTGGATGAGCCTGTGGTCAGAAAGGAGCCCAAGTTTTCCCTGAATCGGCAAGGGCTGGCACAAGGATTTTGACCAGACCTGGTGGAAAGCAGTCCCATCCAACCGGATCCCATCCCGGAACCACAGCAGTTCAGGAGTGGGACGGGCGTCTCCACGGCTCCGACAGGTCAAGTTGGCAGGAACTCCAGCAACCAGAGACACAGAGGGACCGCCCAGCACCTGGGGAGCTTCTGGGGGCACTGCAGGGTGGATCTGGGGTTAGAGCTGGGTACTGGGCTGAAACCCTGATCTTTGCTCTAATCAGCCCCCTAACCCCCCATTACCTGGAATCTGATGCTCCCAGCTAGTATTGGCTGCCCCCTCTAGACTCCCAGGGACAAGTGGGATGGGGGACAAGCGGGATGGGTCCTCACCCAGCACGTGCAGTCGGGCTGGTCTCGAGCGGAGGCCTGCTTGTGTAGCCTGACATTCATAAACTGCTTCATCCTCTAGCTCCACAGGCCTAATGTGGAGGTCGTGCTGGCCACTGGCTGCATTCCCTGATATCCAGTACCGGGACCACCCTGGAGCCAGGGAAGAAGCTCACATCAGAGTTCTAAGTACCTGGCCTCAGTGCTCGCCCCCCAGACATCCTACATCAGGAAACTGGCCCACACACTCATTGGTAAAGAGTATGCACTGGGCCTGGGGAGTCTCTGGCCCTGTCCCCATCCAGAGTCAATGCAAACTTGAGGGTGATAAAGTCAGAAAGGAAAACAAGGAAATGATTGCCAGGCAAGTTAGGTGAGATCCCATCCCCAGGGTGAGGAGGAAAAGGGCTATGGCAGGGGAAGGGAAGAAGGAGAGCTTCTCCAGAGCTGGGAAGAGACTGGCAATTGGTGGCATGGGTGTGTCTGCCTTATAATTGGCAAATCTTGCGTTTATGTTGACTGCACTTGGCTGCATGAATGTACAATTATGCAAGAAAAATAATAATCCCTAAATTCTATGGGCTACCCCCAAAGAAGCAGCTTGAAAATCAGGACTCGCACGGGTTTACCTGAGCCTATCAACTCCTCAAACTTGAAAATGTCAAAATCCGAAGTTTAGATGCAGCCCAAGCCCAGCAAGTCCCACCCTAGAGGCAGCCCCTCCCAGAGCAGAGACCGACCTCACCTGGCAGGTTCCTTTCGCCTCCCAGAGCCAGCCCGTCCTTGGTCCACTGGACCAGCCCCCAGTATGAGCCCAGGGCACAGGGTAGCCGGGCCTCGTCCCCCAGCAGCACCACCACGTCCTCTGGCTGCTGAAGGAAATGGGGTGCTGGGCCTAAGAGAATGGGGGCAGCAGAGATGAGCTTCACATATTTAAGAACTCCCTCACTCAGAACCCAAGAGTCCAGTCCCGGGTCCCTTTCTCCCTCAGACTCAGAAGCCCAGCCCTCCAGGGTTCTCCTCTCTCAGATCCAGGAGTAGCCCCCAGCCCCAGTCCCCACCGTAAAGCGGCGTCAGCGAACGACCCTCCCTCGTATTCATCCGCTCTCCCCTCGCGGTACCTGCACGCCCTTTGAAGCAGAAGAGGAGGACGAGGAAGGCGGGGACCAACATCCTGAGTGTGTGTCTCCCAAGGTCCACGAGACTGCGGGTGCACCGGCTTCCCTGCCAACTTTATTCTCAGCAGCACGCCTCCCACCACCCTGACCCGGAGCCTCTTTTGCGTCCGATTCCTCGCCCCAGTCTGGAGGTCTCCTGTCTCTGGCTTGGGGTTCCCCCTGCCTGTTCATCCGCAGCCTCCGACGCTCTGAAACGGCTGCCGGGTGCACGCCGTCCGTCTCGCG